GGCGGTCACGGAGATATCCAGGTCCTAGGCCATGTAGGGCTTTAAAAGTAATGACTAGCACCTTGAAGCGTGTCCGGAGACCAATGGGCAGCCAGTGCAGCTCGCGGAGGATAGGTGTAACGTGGGTGTACCTAGGTACACCCAGTATCGCTCGCGCGGCTGCGTTCTGGACCAACTGTACTCTCCGAACACTCTTCAGGGGCAGCCCCATGTAGAGCGCATGGGCCACTCCATGGCCTTCCATACCCTGAAATACTTCATGTGCACTTAATGAGCCTTGCATTCGATTAACAAATGCGTGGGCGAAAGGAGGGAGTGATCCCGTTCAAGGTACGAGATTCACTGCCACAAATCTTCGGGTTACGAATGGAATGGGCAGACTCCATTACATTCATAACTCAAGGACTACGTGCATTCCAGAGAATGATTTAACAGGGTGGCAGAGAAGCATGTTCTTGAGATGTTACAGGCTACCATAAGCAAGAATGCATGGACTGTCTTGTTCAACTTCAAAACATTTGTTTCATGTACATCCCTAATCAGTAGTACTTCCCTAGGGATTTTGAAAGAGACCAGCAACAATTTCAATTCACAATTATTTCAAAACAACCACCCCTCCAAATTAAGCAATGGGAATTATTATTTGGGGGAGAAGTGATTCTATAAGGGAGATAAATGGTTAAAAATACACACACACACACACACACACACATACATACACACACCGTATTTTTCGTAGCATAAGATGCACCTTTCCCCCCCCCTAAAAGAGTGAAAATTTGCTTGCATCTTATACACTGAATGTAGCCCCACCCACCCATCGACCCCCATCCTTTGGCCTCTGCCTCTCAGCAATTTACCTCCTTGCAGCAAATGGGGAAAATGGGGCTTGCAGAGGCAGCAATAGGCTATGGCAATCTCTGCAGCCTGAAAGAGCTGAATCTTCAAGGCCCTGCTGAAACGGAAAGTGAAACTTGCTGTTTGTTGCAAGGAGGCAAACTGCTGGGTGGAAGAGGCAGATTTTTTTTTCTAATCAGGCTAAACTGAAACAGGCTGTTTGCTGTTTGCTGCAAGGAGCAAGTCAATAACTATAAATGCCTATAGAATGTCCAAATTATTAGACTTATTTTTTAAAGCCTGCTTTATTATTGTTCTAGGCAACTTAACAAAATGAAAAAACATTTTAAAATAAATGCTTGATCTGAAGGAGGCCCAGTGCTAGTATCTTCTTTTAAATAGCAGAGACTAATGTATACTTCCAGAAAGCGACATTAATTTTAACAGCATCTGTACAAGCATAGTCTGAAATGTAACACCACAGTGTATATCGTATGTACTGTTTGCTGTAAGGAAGCAAATTGCTGGGAGGCAGAGGCAGATTTTTCCCCCCTTGTTTTCCTCCCCAAAAGCTAGATGCAAAAATGGTTAAAGTAACATAATCCTGAGCAAATCTGTGGTATGCAGTAAATAAAAATTGTGGTTTGTAAACATTGGCTGGATTGACATGTTATGTTAAGCTAAAACCACATGATATACAGTATGAATTCCACCTCTACCTCAAGCCAAAAGAGGGTTAGGTTTGGTTTATGACACCTTAACACTGTCTAAATTCTACACATTATATTTTACCACTCTATTATACAGTGATTTGGATCTTCTGCATCCTTATTGCCCTTTGTATATTTTAGGAGTACAATTCCCAGAGTTCCCAGCAAGTATGATTGGGTACCACACTGGTTAAGGCTGCATTAGAATTACTCTTATTCATTAAGGCAACTTCCTTACTTTGCTGGGGAGTGATTTCCACTGAGTTTTCTACATAGAGCATCACAGATTCTAGTTTCTGTGTAGATATCTTTACTTACTTGCCACATTCTTTACAGGGGAAAATTGTAGGTGGATCTGTCTCACCACTTGTTGTGCTATGAGCTGGGGAACTCTTGACAGAGCAGTAGTCATTCTGAGAATTCGACTTTTGTTTTGTGCTAGAGCCACCACAGCGGTTTTTGACCACAGGATTTGTACCACCATGAATACGTGCATGGCCATTCAGGGCTTGTCTGGAAGTAAAGACCTAGAGGGCAAATAAAACAAAAATAGGTTTTCTGAATTAAAGTTAAAAAAAAAAATCTGTAACAATGTGCCAGAGTTCTTCAAATGGTATCTTGCCTGTTTTCTTAATTTGACCATGTAAATTGTATTACATTATATTATATTTTATTACATTATATTTTACCACTATATAACAAGATAATTTGTTTTGAACTTTTTTATTTCTGACTGGCCAGTTATATGCCTGAAGACAGCTTCACCATGCATCCTCAGCACAGCTTTTGAACAGATTGTCATTTAGCTATCTTGGCTAACAGCTATGATCAAAACCACATGTCTAGAGAGATCAACCATTCACACCTTCGTCAAGCCAAATGGCCAACGGTGTCTTTACAATAACTCTTGGGCTTCAGGAACATATTTGTGAAAATTTCTAAACTAATATCCATGACAGAAGAGATCCAAGTTTTACTTTACTTTTATTATTCGTAAGGTTAATCCCAGGCATAGGCTAAACCAATCATATGCAACTTTTTTTAGTTGCTTGGAGCCACATTCAACTTTGGAGGAAAGAAGGAAGAACAGAGCAGTTGATGAGAGAGAACTCTCTCTTAGCCTACTTGCCTTGGCCAACTTGTCACAGTCAACTCACCATGGCAAATTTGCAGCAGCCAACTCGCCAGGGTCAACTGACCGTGAGAAAACTCAACATGGCCAACTTGTCTCAGGACAACTTCTGTGGGACAATTCAACAATTCAATTTAATTATTTAAAATAATTAAACATTTATTTTAATTTTTGTCGTTCACATTTTATTTTGTCCCTCCTTTGGCATCCTTTTTAAAATTATTTTATCTGTCTATTTCTTTAATATCTGATACAAGTTGGACTGTGTATGTGGCTGACTCAAAGACTCCCAATATGTTTTCATGGGTGAGGGTGGACTTGAACCTAGGTCTCTGGTGTCTTGCATCTGATATCTTAAGGTCTATGCCACTCTGGGCATCAATGTAAGAGATTTTGCATCCAACATCAATTACTGAATGCATACTGTGAAGTTAGAGAACTGCACAGTTTAGCTGCATCTGTAACCACACACTTCTGCATATGTGTATTAACATATTAGTAATATGATTGGTTGCAGTCCACCAGATGCTTAGCCTGGAGTTGTCAATTTTATCCACCTATCAAGTCCTTCCCAAGGGATAGGCAGGTGTTGTTATTTGATGGTGTTAAATTTATCACTGCAGACTGTAAGCTGCTCCAAGAAAAACTGCCTTTTGCAATTGACTGATGGCAATTTTGTCAATGCCTATGGTACTCCAGATGTTTTGGGATTGCATCCAAGGTACTGATTACTATTTTGTACTATTACTGCTTTGTTTAGCCACAATTGATTCCTTTCTACTTATGGGTCTTTTTAGTTTATGACCTTATGTGTGTATTACTGTATTAACAATTACACTTACAGCCCCACAGTCTGGCATTTCACAGATAAAAGAGGTCGCAGGTAGCCCAAGGCCTGGCAGAGAGGGAGAGTTAATGGGTGATGCAACAGCAATAGACGGTGGGTCAGGGGAATTCTGAATTTCTGTATCTTCTTCTTTTACAGATGCTTTTTCTTCCTCAGTTTGCTCTTCACCTTCCATTTCCTCATCTTCACCACTTGTCTAAAATTCAAAGACATGCTAGATGATAGTGGAGAAACTTTAACTGCCTATATATAGAGATGTTAAAGAAGGATTGAAGTAACTCATATGTACCTACAGATAATCCTTGATTTACCAGTTTGTTTTAGTGACTGTTCGAAATTAAGTGACTTGTGACCATTTTTCACATTTACGACCTTTGTAGTATCTCCATGGTCATGTGATCAAAACATAAAACAATAAAATAATTACATCAATACAAAATAAATATACAAGGATTACAAATGGTTATCCAACATGTTAAAAACGTCCAGTGTTGGGGCATCCAGAAGTTGTGAATGCTCCAAAACTGGAAGTTTTTAAGATGTTGGATAATCATTTCTCTGAAGTGGTGTAGGGTTTCCTGCCTAGGGGGTTGGATTAGAAGACCTCCAAGGTCCCTTCCAACTCTGTTATTCTATTCTATTCTATTGCAATAGTCTTACTTGGAATCTTTGTATATTTTGTATTGATGTAATTATTTTGTTTTGTGTTTCATAATGTATGCCATCCAGAGTCCCTGGCAGCTATTAAAGAATGTATCCATGCTAGAGCTTATCAAATAGATAGAAAAAATATTTATTATTGTGCAATGGCTGCAGTGTCCTGGGGTCATGTGATCAAACTTTGTGACCTTCTGACAAGCAAAGTCCCATGGGGAATCCAGATTCACTTAACAACTGTGTTGCTAACTTAATAACTGCAGTGATTCTCTTAACAACTGTGGCAAGAAAAGTTGTAAAACTCAACAACTGTCTTGTTTAGCAACAGAAATTTGGGGCTCAATTGTGGGCCAGAAGGTGAGAGCTACCCGTTCTTTGTTTCAAGATTAATAGGTAGATCTAATATTATTAATTACTAAATAAAGACACATCTTCTCCAGCTCTGTTTTTAAAAAATCTGTTTTGGAGCTGTGAGACAGGTTCCAAAACCATATTTAATTGGAGAGAAAATTGATTGACATCATTATTCCTTACAGAATGTATTATTCAGAATAACTAACTAGTTCCTCTTATTGCTCTGAAACTGTTCTATATTATATAGAAAGGCAACTTCTCTGCACTGGAAAAATCAAGGTAAGCTGCTTTATAGGAAGTTCAATTCCTTATTCATATATATTAATATTATTCTGACTAGCAATGGCTCTTAAGTAGAATTATTTGATTATCAGTTGCTTCGTGATTCTTTAAAACTAGGTGCCAGTTCCTTCCGGATATATGGCAGTTTATCGTACAAATATGGATCTCCCAAGAAAATGTTGGGAATTACAAACTAGAAGCAGTAACACCAATTTCTATACCCAGAAATACTCTTGTTTACTACTTGTGGTGTTTGCTAAGAACTGCAATCAATTATTTTAGGATAAAATAACACACATTCTTGTAGCATGGACCGTGTTACAGCATATGTATAACTATCTTACTAAAATGTTTCTTCTCACATGAGAGAAGTAATAATCAAATATAAATATCTGAATAATAATTTTATGTACTTCAAAACTAAAGGAAGTGAGGCTTACTGGGCATTCAGTTTTTACTTCCGCCTGCCGAGTTCTGTGCCGTCGTCCTAAATGCATGATTTTCTTCCACGTATAATAGTATTCAACACACTGGGCGACTGTCTTAGACTTCACCTACAATCATACAATAATTCAGATTCTGCATTAGCACATTGCCAGATAACATACAACATAAACATGTAGCACACACACTATAAAACTTTCTCAGATATATTCATTAGTACTGTATACTCAATCACAATTTCAAAACTTTGAAACAGTATCAAAAATTTAAACTTTGGTTTTGGATCTTACTAGCAAGTTACATGCATGACTAAAGGGTTAAACCATTTTTTATGGTTTTTAAACCATTTTTAACACTAAGAAGCTAGTTGCTCTTTTGAAACAGACTAAACTCTGACAGAGAATAAATTGTTGGAAATCAAAGAGTGGATTTAAAAACTGAGCAAGGGACTACAACCCAAATCTTCACAATCTGAGATGTATGTATGTATGTATGTATGTATGTATGTATGTATGTATGTATAGATGAGATAGACAGACAGACAGACAAACAGACAGAAAATTTTTCACTCCAATTCAGGGAATTAATTCATGGTCAAATTGTCAGATGTTTTAAAAATAAGAACAAATTCTTGCAGTTGGGATTTTGTCTAAGTCTAAGCATACAAACTTTCACTTAAAAACTATGCCCAGAGAATTAGCCTAACGGATGCATAATAAGTGGTATCCAGAAGATCATGAAAACAAGAGGAATAGCTCACCATTTTCTGCACAAAAATGAAATCTTTGCCATATGTTGCCAGTGCTTTACTGAACAATTTTCTTTCAAAGGGTGTCCACTGGTCAGAACCTGAAGTAAGTGAACAGGTAAGAACCATTATATATTTTTTCTGTCAAATGAGTGACTTTTTTTCACTGTGGTCAGCCAATAGCACCTGCCCTGATAGATGCTCCCATGAGGAATTGGCAGGTTCTCTATTTTACTACTTACCGGCATAATGGTAATTGGCTAGAGGGTGTGATTTTGCTCTTTTTGGTTTCAAAAGAAGAAGCATTTCCAGAGCAGCCTGCAATATTAACAGAGACAAAGCAAATCAGAATTGTATGTGATTTGTAATTATTAGAACTGCACTGATTCTTGTAACAATTATTTTAATACATTTCCAATTTTCCTATTTCCTTTGCCTATCAAGGGATGTGCAGTCAGGGGAGGCAGAACCTCACCACCATCATCATGAAAAGAAAAAAAAATGTAAAAGGAAAAAGACAAGAGCTGAGGTCAGGCTGAGCTAGTTGCTGCCAGAGTC